TAATATCATTAGAATGCTTTAAGTGAAATTTTCCAATCCTTAACTAATTCCACTACATTGGTGTTTGTTCATATGATGCTTTTTGATCATAGTCAATTGAAAATAAAACTGATGGGCACTGTAAAGAATTTGAAATTAAAGTTGTATATATATATGCAACAACTCCAAAACGTTAAGGTTTTTAAACACAAGAAAAACGGTTGTTACGACAGACACGCAATTATATTAATAATTTGCTACTGTTAAAATATTAAAACAATGTTTTAGTTTAAAATAGAAATGTAATAACTCATGCAAGTAATTTTAGTTTGTTAACAAAATTTGTAAAATAGTACTCACCCTTGTTCCTTTCAGTTGTACCATTATGTGTGATATACGTTGGAAAAAAAAAGGTTGTTTGGAAATCCATGACAGTTGTCTTTTAATTTTTTATTTTATCAGTCCCCGACAAAAATAAGACGTGAATAAGTAGGCGTCCTTTATGAATAGTTCTGTGGTGAAAACGTAAGAAATAAACCTACCAGCACTATATACTGTATGCTGTAATCTACAAACTGTGCAGCATCGTAAGTGTAGTGCCTTCGCGGACGCTTCGGTTCTCTTAAAAAATCGTATCGGTTGTAAAACACCCGCAGTGAATAAAACAGTGATGTCAGTGTAGAATTGTGACTCAGACTGTGATATACAGTACGTGACAAATGATATTGCAACTACGGATCTCTAGGAGATAAGAATCAAGTCAAATTACCAACAAAAGGGGATTTCAATGTATGCAGGGAAATATTAAAGTAATTGCCCTCTCGCTCTCAGATGTTTAAACTCCTTCTTGTTAGCAAACACACTTCTAAAGCCTCACAGACATATTTATATCACTTGTATTTTAAGGTGCGTTTCTAGCACTGCGCTAATCAGGCAGGTTCCTTAAATAACCCCCGACTTCTTAGGAAAGACACTTGGTTATAAGAATAACAGGGCGTTGACTACAGACGCACGGCAGGTTAGCTTAGTCATCTCTTAAACAGCAAGTCAGCAAGTTAAGGAGAGACTGAATAATGGTCTGTATGGCGAAGTTATTAATAAATAAAAATCAAAAAGACACAAGGCCATCCAGAATTTCTGGAGAGCGTATTTACAGGTCTGTGATCCTTTCTAGTGCTCTCTCAAGATCATCAATCAACACTTCAGTGGAGTTTAGGTCAGGGCACTGGTGAAAAGCATGTTTACTTTCAGGTTTACTCTGTGTTTTTAGAGGCATTATGTTCATGCATTACTTAAGTGCTGCAGGTGGTTAGGGCGTTACATGATATTGGTTTCCATGTGTTGCAACACCTTATATCATAACAGGATTATAAAAATAGTTTGACTTCTCTTTTAAGTAATTTCCTCCTGCTGCCATGGCCAAATTCATTTCCATGGTTATCATTTTTTCTGTAACTACAGGTTGTGGTTTGCACATCATAAGACTTCTTTGACCTTCCAGTCTCAAGAAGGTTTTTGATTTACCAGTGTGAAATAGGATATATAATAAAAACACAAGGTTCATCCATAAAGAGTAAGTATTAGTAAAAGCAAAAAAAGATTTCCTCATTGATATTCTTGTAATACACAAGCATAATACACAATGTGATCTAAAGAAGAAGAAATTGTCTCTAGTTTAATCTAAATGTATTAGAAGTTGCTTGTTTCTAAATTCATAATTGTATATTTTTGCTTTATAACATACCCACCCGTTCTAGAATTTTCTATTTTGTCAACATGTTATGGCCTTTTCCAACACACTCAGCAGAACTAAATTAATTGCATACGGCTGCTTGCCGAATCTGTAGGCTGCTGCGGAAATTGGCCTTTGTGTCAGTGCGTAGCCTGTCACAATCGCTACCCCCCCTCTTAAGGGCACTCCAGCCCTTCCTCGTTTCCCCCATTGTTTACACCTGTTCCTAATTCCAGCCCGTCTTTAGTTCCACCTTTAAAGCCAGATGCAGGTGTTTGCCTGAGGCTTCTCATTGAATCCTGCTTCGTGAGAGCCCGGGGGTCCTGCTGCATCTGGCTCCGTCATGGTTTTAGTTTCCTGTTCCTGATTCCCTGCCCTGCCGGTCCCGACCCGGTTCTTGTTTTAACTTCGGATGGATCCCCTGGTCTAGGACTCTGCCTCCCG